AACAACTAATATTAAACATCGTAATAAGACCATTGTTGTCGTCTACGAGCATGAAAACATTAATAATTTTATGTTAAGTAGGAATATCGTAATAGGACTATTGTTATCGTCTACATGTATGAAAACTTTAATAACTTCATATTAAGTACGAATATCATAATCAGACCATTGATGCCGTCTACGTGTACGAAAACCTTAACAACTTAATATTAAATATCGTAATGAGACCATTGTTGTCGTCTACGTGCATGAAAAAAATAATAACTAGATATCAAACAGGATATCGTAATAAAACCATTGATGTCGTCTACGAGCATGAAAACATTATTAATTTTATGTTAAGGAGGAATATCGTCTACATGTATGAAAACTTTAATAACTTCATGTTAAGCACAAATATCGTAATAAAACCATTGATGCCGTCTACGTGTATGAAAACTTTAACAACTTAATATTAAATATCGTAATGAAAACAATAATAACTAGATATCAAACAGGAATATCGTAATAAGAGCATTGTTGTCGTCTACGAGCATGAAAACATTAATAATTTTATGTTAAGTAGGAATATCGTAATAGGACCATTGTTGTCGTCTACGCGTATGAAAACCTTAAAAACTTAATATTAAAAAGGAATATCGTAATATGTCCATTATTGTCATCTGCATATTATATATATTATTTATATATAAGACAATGATTTTACTTTTTTTATTGACTCGAAACAATTTTTAATTTACCTACAATTAACAATCACTACTGCATTTGAACAGAGTAGATTTATCTTTGTACATGCATAATATAAGGCCACAAGTGTAGGACAATTGTCATTGTAGTTTCTTCATTCTTCTTCCTGTATTGCTAAGAACAGATATTTGAAAATTTCGCAGGTGGTAGCATAATAAAACTTATGAAATACTTACAAGTAATATATTGGAACGTAAACCTTGAATTCTACATTTTCTGCATTACGATTGAGCAATTTCTTTTATCTTAAATTAGGTATTCTATGACACCAGTGAATTCATTATATTTGATTTATCTTGTAATATTTAGAATATTTTATCATCCAGCAGGGTTACTGGAATGATCGTGTCAAAGTCGAATCAGATTTTATGAAGAACATCTACTCTATTTATCGATTAAACACCATCGCAATACTCAAGTGCCTATTCTTAAATCATCACACGGGACTTTTAATTTAAAATTGCTTTTTGTTCGCCACTACTGATGAGTAGTTCTGTAATCAGTAAATATTGCCTTTATAAATAATGACACAATGTTATGCATACTGAAAACAAAAGTGCATCGAGAATAAAGAAGAAATACAACAAAAGAAGCATTGTTGTAGTTACTTTAGACAGAGTTGGGCAAAACCATCAAGCCCAAAGCCCTTACTCAAAGTGATTTGGTCCTTGAAGCCCCAATTACATCCACCGACACTGAATAAAAGTAATTAGGTTCAAAACTCTGAAATTTCTGAAATGATTTTGAACGCTTTGGAATAGCTTAATGTACGTTCAAATACAAATTACAAAATTATAATGTAATTCGTACTTGTTCACGAGAGAGTTTAATATGTATCTTAAGCCCTGAAAAACTGATTTTTCATTCCCCATGATCACGGTGGTGTTACAAGTGAACACTTTAACGTCACGATGATCCATCATGGAGATTTTATCAATAAGATACGATTAGAATCCGCAAGTAGGTACTGCATATTTTTTTCCAAAATTCATAAAAATTGATAAAACATGTGAAATATTAAAATGTTGTTATATAAGCGATTTATCCGATCCGACGGGACTTGAACCCTGAAGAAGCACTTGAGTGGGTGGATCGGCTTGCGAGTTTCGGTGATTTAGGAAGCCGGACCATAGGTTCAACCGTAATGGGAGGATTCTTAAAGAGAAACCGGAGTAAGACAAGACCCTGAAAGGGCAGCAGCTCTTTCAATACTCAGAGTGGCATAGATCACGAGGATCGGTATGGGACTCTGATGCACAATAATGCGATGTGGAAGGCAATGGGAAACCACCACATTATGATATCTCAAGAAAAACAAAACGAACTCAAACGATAGCGTCCTCTGGGATTAAGCACTCCAGACGCCAACTAGTCTCCCATTCGGAAATCCGGGCGGGGACTACCTCGGGGATGTCATCAATAAGTGTAATAGGGGAAGGTGCAATATTTCACGAGCATATAGTCAGAGCACGTAATGTTAGAACAAAGAGGCAAGTAGGGAAATTAGAGAATACGAATGTTGAGATAAATAGTCCAGAATTAGATATAGTAGGCATTACTGAAGTCCGTTGGCTAGAAGCTGGAATCTTCTGGAGTGGAGACTTTAGAATAATAAATACAGGATCGGTGGAAGGTAATTCGGGGGTAGGAATTGTAATGTGTAGGGAAGGAGAGCAGTGTGTAGAAAGTTATTTGCAAAAAAGCGATAGGCTAAATTAAACTCGAAACCAGTAAAAACAGTAACAGTGGAGGTCTACATGCCTACATCGTCTTACAATAATGAAGACGTAGAAGTGGTTTATTCAGATATAGCAGACGTGTTAAGTTTAATTAAAGGGCACGAAAACCTAATAGTTGTAAGAGAATTCAACACCATAGTAGGTGAAGGTAAAATGGGTGCAATAGCAGGTTCTTTTGGATTAGGCAATAGAAATGATAGGGGAGATAGGCTGATAGAATTTTGCAATAATCATAACTTAACTGTCGCCAATACTTCATTCAACCATCACGTTAGGAGGCGTCATAGAAAGAAGATGTCAGATGATTTAGGGAGATATCAGTTAGATTACATAATTGTAATTTTTAAATATTTGAGAATCAAGTGAAGGGCTGTAGGAATTATCCAGGAGCAGATATAGATAGCGATCATAACTTAGTTATGAACACCAATCTTAAATTGAAAATTCTAAAAAAGAGGGAAGGTAGGAGACGTCTTGACTAAAAAAAACTAAAGTGAAATAAAATGCGAGATAGGTAATACATACAAGCACAGGCGAAATACTAAAGAAGGCGAGAGAAACGAATGACAGGAACATAGAGACAGAATGCAATTGCATTAAAACGTGCTTAAAGTCAGCAGCTACAGATGTATTAGATCCTAAACAAAACGAAAGTATGGAACCCTGGATAACGAGCGAGATTGTAGGTAAAATAGAAGAGAGGCAGAAATACAAAAGCAGGAGAGACGAAGAAGGGCAAAGAAGACATAAGGCGATAAAGTGGGAAATAATTGGGAAGTGTAGAGCAGCTAAAAAACAGTGTATTGATATGAGGTGTAAAGAAGTAGAAGAAAAGTTTAAAGTAGATGAAATCAATGAGGCTTACAATATAATTAAAATAAATTTTAGAGAAGTAGAGTACAGTAGTAATAATATAAACAAACGAGGTGGGGGTCATTTTAATAAAATATGAGGAAAAAGCAGACAGGTGGAAAGAATATTTAGAGAACCTTTACGCAGGCCCTGAGTTAGGAGATATATTAGAGAAGGAGGATAGTGTGGAAATAGGTGAGCTAAGTTATCTCATAATGAGAGAAGAGTTCGATGTAGAATTTAAAAACTTAAAGAATAATAAGGCACCAGGTATGCAGAACAATAGGTTAGAGATCCTTAGGGATGTTTAATATGGTTAGTCACATTTACGAGTTGGGGAAAGTCCCAGAGGATTATAATCGGAACATGGTAATCATACCTAAAAAGAAAGGCGCGGATAGGCGCGAGATATTTAGAACAATTAGCTTAACTTCCCATGCGTCGAAAACTTAACTAGAATTGTACAGAGAAGGATGGAAAAAAGGGCGGAAGAACTGTTAGGGGAAAAGAAATGTTGGCAACAAAATACGCATTTAATAATCTTTTAGAATTTGTGAATCTTTGTTTTATATCTCATCTAGCGCTTTTATCAGTATAGGTTATCTGGCTCCCTAAATATCGAAAATCAGCGATTTCTTCTAGTTTTTCGTCTTCCATTTTTGCATTTGATCAAATTATAGTTTTACATACATTGTATTCCAATATCTTTGTTTTATTTTTATTAATTTTCATTTCATATGCTTGTGTCAATACCGTTTCCATTGTATTTGAAGTTACCTCTAACTACTCCTTGCTAGATGCTAATACTGTTATGCATTATCCGCAAATATAAACATTTTTTTCTATTATCCCTGAATGTCTATCCTTAGTAAAACTATTCTGTTTTTAATAATATTCAAATTAATGGGTAACAATGTACTTACATTCTTGTCTAACTCACTCGAATATTGAAAATAAGAGAAGACAATGTAACTATAATAAGTGCTATCCTTGTGGTCCAGAGAAAAATAAATTAATAAATGTTGGTAGAAGATAAATAAAGTCACGGTAACAAGTATCGAATATTGATGCCTCCACAATAGATTATTAGATTCAATTGATTCTAAAATCCACATTTTTGAACTTTTTTAAAGAATAAGGGTTCGTTAGAATTTATCTACTTGATATAATTCTTGTTTTGCCAGAAAAATCGTCAGTACTACATAATAAGTTTACAAAACTGTAATTTCATTTGTAAAATTCATATATTTAAAAGATAATCTAATTGTCTTCAACACACACGAAGCAAACTTTTGTAAATTTTTTAAAATTAAGAACCAGTTGTGAAGAAGATATTTATTTCCTTTTTACGTTTATAACTGCTTTTTATTTATAAAAATAGTGGATAATTTTACGAAAATAACAAAATATAAAATGCATAAATCAGCGCGTAAATTAAACTCAACAAATGTATCCCTAAATCAGCGGCTGAAAGGTTTCCGTCTTTATTACTAAGTAACTAAATTGAACAGATACGTTTTATTACATGTTTACCACAAAGCAAGTGAGCAATTATATCAATCGTTTCTATTGCGCAGTATTGAAGCCATTCTTAAGTTAATTGTAACATTCTCACAGAAGAGGGCTCCTTCAGTCCTTCATGTGTAAAAACATGTTTATCAGTTTTTTTTCCGTATGTCTCATAAAATATTCATCTGCGTGTTGACATGTGAACCGTGGAGCAGAAATAATTCGGTATTAGTTTAGGCCAAAAGAACTGCATTTTCGGTAGATATAAACAATTTCTTAAAGAGGTAGTTAAATTAATGCATTTAATATCATTCAGTGACTGAAAAGGAAAGATGAGTTACAAAAACAGAGACATTTAGAAGTGTAAAAGTGAGCAATAATAATTTAGCCAACCTTCAAATAACGACTGCAGCGTTTACTCTGATTGTGGAACTGGTGAGTGAAATATTCTATTGTAAATTCAAGGATGTTTGGGAGGTATGTCAAAATACTACGAGACAAATAAAAATTTGGAAGAGCGTTCCTCACTCAATTCTAAACCTCCTGTAAAAATCACAAATCGATTCACTAAACCGTTAAAAAGTTATTGAAATTTTAAAAAATTGTAATTTTGCAGTTTATGGAGATTCGTTGACCGAACATATTATTAACAGAAAAAAAGCTACCAGAAATTTCAAACTTTTATAATAAGTAACTTGAACTCTGGAGAATCACTTTAGCGTAAGGTTATTCAAATTCACTAAATGGTTATCGAGGAAAAAATGAAAAATTAGCTGAAAATCTCGTTTTTACTTGATAATATAATGATAATATTTATAATTGTCTGAAATAAATGCAATTTTAAAGTTTTAATTATTATTTAAACATATTAAAAAGTTTTACGCTCATTATTAATAGAGATTGAAACTAAATATTTTTT